TTTTTTTTTTTTTTTTTTTTCAAAATACCCATTGGATTGTGTTTCTTGGGTATACATACCTTAATATTTTATTGATTACTAAATCAAAAAGCATTACAATTAAAATACAAACAAACGTTAAGCTTTAATTACCAATTTATTTTGATCCCCACAAATTAATTACATTTTTTTAAATTATTTTTAGTATTGCTAAACAAGTTTTCCACATTGGTTCACTTGTTTATGTGTAATGTTTTATTCATGCATAATATAGTACTAACGTTACTACAAAACATAAGAAATATCTAAACATCATCTAACAGATTTAATAATCGCATAGCTGAGTTTATTAATTTTATTGATATTTTAAACAATTGCAGTGATTAACACACTAAGTACTGAGTCATAATTTATTTTAGAAATAACCTATTTATCTAATTTTCTATGGCAGTTTTTGCTAGCTGTAAGACCTTATTTTTACTCTTTTGCTTACGTAACACTACTTTTTTTTTTTTTTTTTTAATTTAAACATAGACTTAAACCATTCTCAAGCTGTCTTAAAATTCGAATATGAATTACCGCAAAATAGCGTAGCACATTACAAAAAAGGAATACGCAATTGTTTTAAAATAATATTAGTGTATACATGCATCATTTCTTAAGAAAATAAAAAAATTATTACAAATATATCATGAAAAAATAAACATTTTCATAAATATTTACAGTTCATTTTTTGAACTTGACGTTTTTAACACGTTTTCATCGAAGTTTATCGAATTCCAAAAGTATTTGTCTCCAAAATTTTTATCACCATCCATGTTGAATTCACTTGGTTCAGAGATGTGCAAGTATTTAAACTTTTTGTCAAGTGGGCCAACTTTGCTCCACGATGGAGAAAAGGCTTGTGTGCTATTATTGAAAAAAAAAAAAAAAAAAAAATGTAGAATGTGGTAAAAATTTATCAATCAATGGTACTGTACAAATATATTAAATAATATTTACCCATTTTCAGCAAATGAGACCCACAATCGGGTCAAGTCTGCCTGCATTGCGCGATCACTTTCCGTCGTCGTCGGCACTACGCGGTGGTTTTCAATCACCAGGTATGCATCATCAGCGTGACATACACCTGAAAAATATTTTAAAAACTAATGAATATTTGAAAACCATTCAAATTGTTCATTTTATAGCGTATACAGACATTATTATTTACACAGCAAAAAATATTTTTTCAGAGAGAAACAACTCGCATGAAAATACTAGTGATTTGAAATATAACAACGAACCCAAGTCTTGTTCAGTTCCACTGAGGGCATTGCTCAAACTTTGGGCTGCTCTGTAACTGTAGTAGTAGAACCACACGGGACTTTTGTTGGCCTTGGCTTGCATCCTGGCGGCTTTTTCCGCGTCAACGACAAACAGCCTGTCGCCAACCATCTTCGTCACTGATCTCGCGTTCTCGCGGTTGATGGGCTTGCTGCCCAAATAATGTCCCCGAATTTTCATAGCCACCTCCTCATGCAACCTCAGTGGTACCGTATAATTGAAATCCAATAAGTGAGGTGCTATGGACGTCCAATTGGCATCCAACTCCTTCAGAAGTCGGTCATTGGTGGCAAATTCTAATAATAAAAATAAACTGTTGAGAAAAAATCATTGGGGACACATTTTACATCTTAGAAATAATAATTTTTTCAGTATGGACTTTGCCTGCCACTGGATAGAGTCCCTCGTCGCTGGTGACGCTCGTTATCCACGGGGCGTCCAAAAAATCGCCACTTTCGAGTATTT